ACCTAACGCATCAATAGATGATATAGCAGTATTATCAGAGGTATTCACACTAGCATCATCCCTCTCATTCACAGGCAAGCTCATTTGTGGTGACTTCAATATGCCCAAAATTTCTTGGCTGCCAGTCAAAGCGTCGAGACGTTATGAATCATTTATTGAATGTCTAGAGCTCGGACAATGGACTCAGTATGTCGATAGCCCTACCAGACATCAAAACATCTTGGACTTAGTCTTTACCAGTGGCCTCATCCCCAATACTTTGTATATTGGAAAAAAGTTCCCAGGTAGTGATCATAACATTGTCATATGCAGCCTTAATGTAAAAACCACAACCAATAGAAGCAAAACCGTAACACTTCGTAGAAACTATCGCAAGGTTGATTGGAATAACTTCCACAATTACCTAAGAAGCACTGATTGGGGAACTTTCTTTACCTCAAACAATACCGACACATTAACCAATATATTTTATCACAACATCAAAAGTATCATCAACAACATCGCACCTTTAGAATACTGTGAACCTGCGTTCTCCAAAGATCTCTATATACCGGTCAGTACAAGAAGACGTCTTCAAAGACATTGTACTCAATTCCACAACTTAAATGACTTTTCCTCTTTAGTAACGATGACAGAAATACTTGTCCGAACAGAGGAAATAAGTAAACAAAAAGCAGTAGCACAAGAAAAACGTGCAGTTGAACTTAATGATAACTCCTCTGCACTCACCATACTACTCCAAAGTAAACTTAAACGCTCTAAATCGAGAGGGAGTATATTCATTAAAGGCAAACAAGTATACGAAGATCCCAAACTTGTCACAGAATTATTTAGTGAACATTTTTGTTTCTCACTAACTAACGAAAAACCATTTAATGATTCAGAACCAATCCCAGTAACTCCCTGTGAAATTACTAATGTAGAATTCAGTGTACAAAATATCTCCAAGGCAATCAGTACATTGAAACACTCATACACTGATGGGCCAGATGGTATTTCATCTAGCATGCTTAAACGTGGAGGTGATGATATGTGTGTTTTGCTTCTCAAAATATTCGCGATATCACTCTCTTCAGCATGCTACCCCACTGCCTGGAAAACTACACATATCATTCCCAAAATTGAAACAGGACCTGAAGCAAACGTTGAAAATTACCGGCCTATAAACATAACTTCAGTGGTATCCAGAGTGATGGAAAAAGTAGTTAAGGCGGCTGTAGTCCAACATCTAATAACTAATAATCTCATCTCGACCTCCCAGCATGGATTTCTTAGGTGCAGATCATGCGATACATGCCTAGTAGACTACCTGAATGATATAACTCTGAAACGAGACAGCGGACTCCTTGTATCAGTCCTATTCCTAGACTTTAAGAAAGCCTTTGATAAGGTCCCACACAAAAGGCTACTCGTCAAACGAAAGTCTTTCGGAATACACAACCCATTGTACTCATGATTTGCTTCGTTCTTAACAGAACGTAAACAGATGGTAAAGTACAATGACTGTCTCTCGTCCCCTAGGCCAATCACCAGTGGAGTCATCCAGGGAAGCGTATTAGGTCCACTTTTGTTTCTTATGTATATAAACGATATATGTAACACCATAGAATTTGGGAGACCATACTTATATGCTGATGATCTCAAAATAGTATACAGCTATAAGCCTGAGACACTAAGCGAAAGTGTATCCCAGATCCAAAAGGACCTCAATAACTTAACTATATGGAGTGAAAAATGGCAATTACCATTAAACCTCAACAAGTGCGGGATCATGCACTTTGGAAAGCATCCCTATAAACCCCAACTTCACTTAAATGAAAGTAGAGTCCAAACACTCGATTCAGTACACGATTTAGGAATTAATTACACAGGAAGCCTGAACTTTGAAGAACATGCCTCCTCTATTATTTCTAAATCTAGACAGCTAATTGGCTTTATAATGAGAAACTTTTTCACAACAGAGGGTAAACTTACTCTCTACAAAATATGTGTACGACCCTCCCTTGAATACTGCTCTTTTGTATTCTCTAATATGAATATCACAGACAAGATAAGAGTAGAAGATGTTCAAAGACGTTTCACACGTCAACTACTAGGATGTAACTCGAATCTTGATTACACAGATAGATGTAAGCATCTATCTTTAGAACCCTTATGGCACCGTAGGCTAAAAAACAATTTAATATTTCTCTACAAAGCGATATATGAGCTGTCCTTTCTAACCTCCTGCCCGACTATTACCCACAACCCAGCCTATAGACTTAGAAACAACGCATATACACTACTTACCGTAAAACACCAAAAACAAATGCGTTGTAAGTTCTTTACAGTACGGTACAGTTTATTGTGGAACAGGCTGCCAATGCCTATCCGTAATTGTGATACGTTTATCAGATTCAAAAGGCTAATAACCCTATTTCTAGACTCCAAAGAGCTTCAACATTTCCTTGAACTCCCGCCCACCAATGAGGCACTTTATTACGGACCGCCTAGTATCTAGAAAGAACAAAATTATAACAAGTCCGACTGTTACGAATATGAATATAATCAAATCATAGAACATATGGCTTATCCTTTCCTATTATTAATTGTTTATTAATCATGACTTCGTGCTCCTAACCCTAGCTTTCAGTTCCCAAATCTCTACAGGTTAAATGTACATTATTCTTTCTAAAAGTCATGCCTTTTTTTCTACTGCAAGTAGACAGATAGCTCAATCTTATGAATGCTGATCTACTTAGGCCGACCATTCAAAGTTCAAAATTTGGCCACAACGTCTTGTGAGTTTCTCAATGTTTTATTTGTCTTACCCTGAAAATTTTTTTCCTACGATTTTATACCCTCTCATATCTTTTGATTTGCTATTAGTTATTTTCATAGCAGTGTGATATACTATGTGGACATCTAACCCATAAAACAGACTTTTCAACTATCTGATTTGCTTGTAACATGGACCTAGTAGAGACAGTGTATTCCAACTATGGGCTTTGATTAAAGCAGTATTCATACTTACCACAAACATAAGAGAGCCTAACATCACAAAAGGAGGGAGGTTGGCGTTACTGACCAGCAAACATGAAGGTGGGAGATAACTTCAATCCACCCATGTCTGTAGGGCAGAACATTTTGTTTAATTACGGCTCCTTATGGTTTAGTGGGATGTCATGAACTTATGGTATTAAAGCTGATTTATCACGCAAAATACCTCTTTAAATTGTGTTACGAACGTTGAATTGGTTTCACTTCCTACCTAGAAATCCTATTACAAGCAAACTAGACGATTCGCTAATATACGAAGCCTACTCAAGACCCTATAATAACTGGGGGAAAAATATTTAAAAAAAAAACGAAAGAGGCTCTAATAGCTTCCATATTAAATGGAAGACAGCCAAATGTATATCACAATACTGTTTCTAGCACTATATTTTATTTTATAATCACACATAATCTTATACTCTCAGCTCTTTTCCGAATCGCTCCCATTTGTCAGTTGTATGTCCACTCACACTTATTTTCTTTAACATATTAAAATGCTATTTCTTAACATATACCTTAATAAAGGAAAATTAGACTGAGTAATCATACCTTAAGCATTCTTTCATGAATATTGGCTACTCTGCCTCTCGTGTTTTCTTTTACTTGCTCCCTCTTTCAGCCCCCTTGAGATATGGAACTGGTGACTTCATCCTGCACCATCCTTAAAGCCTTGGATATCCCAGAAGGAAATAAGGTTGCGATTTTTAGAAGCCCATACCTTCAATGGACCTATTGTTGACCATCAGTCGCACATTCGCAACGCGACTTTCATGAAGCGCGCCAACTGTAGTACTGATTTAAACCATCGACATTCATATCTTATAAATTATCAACCCAGCTATGTAATTTATTGCAGTGTATATTGTATCATTTGTATCAATTTGATCTTGCCTGTAAACTGGCATGCCTCATGTAACAAACTGTTATTTGAGAATAAATTATTATTATTATTATTATATGTTCAGCATCCAATGTCGAAAACTTACAGGGCTATTTATTTTGGGATTTATTTACCGCTACAGGCATTTGAAAAATATGCTTCTTGGAAACTTATCGCCTTCATTTTTAAATTAAATCATAAGTTTTGATTCAATCGCTAAATAAAATATACGTGATGTACGGTCATGGTCCTTGTCGCAAAGCACTGATCTCACTAAATATCCTTTCCTGACCGAAGTAATCAGTATCCTGTCAGTGAATAACGGAGAGGCTTGACAACTACTTAATCATCGATAGATTACTACGTCTCGCTTGAACTATCTCTCAACTTTTATAAATAAAAATAATATATTTGTAATATCACAATGAGTAGAAAATTGGATATTCTGACGTTTCGTGACTTAGTGTAAGTCACTTCTTCAGAGAATAAATAACCAAATTAAAATTAAACCAAGTTTAAATATTAGTATTGTTCCGTTGTACTATCTAAACTTGGTTTAATTTTAATTTGGTTATTTATTCTCTGAAGAAGTGACTTACACTAAGTCACGAAACGTCAGAAAATCCAATTTTCTACTCATCGGGATATTACAAATATATTATTTTTATTTATAACAATCAACTCAATGCTCAATTTATTCGAAATTATCAAATCAAACATTGGTAATGACACCTACAAATATCTTTCAACTTGTCACTCACAAATATCGTCGTAATCTGTTGACCTACTCTCATTTCATTCCCCCGTATTTCAATCTACCCGTTAATTTTGCACCTTTATTTATATATTTTGCTTACGGAAATAGTCAATTGGTCAATTTTGTTCAACAGTCCTCCAGTCTTCGTTCTTTTAAGTGCCACATTTCCCACCACTTTTCACATTAAAACCAACTGACCATTTGATTTTTAATGTAATGGCTCTTGTTCCCAGAATCCATTGGCTTACACAAACTGTTACTGCTTCTAGAAACATAACGATATAACGGTTGTTGTATAAATAGATATTTTGATTGACCTTGTAGGTCAGTATAAAGCGCGCAAAGCGAACATCTAACCATTTCAATGATTTTCCGTGGTTTTAGACTGACCTACTTATATGTAAGAACCATCTTGAAAAGTATCTCTGAAAACGAATCACAGATTCGCCGAGCAAAATGGTTGATGAAACCAGTGTTTCTTTTCAGTCTTCGTTTCCTTACAATCTACAATACTTTTTGAAGACACAATTGTGTTCAATTTTCAAGTTATCTAGTATTATTGTATTGAATTACTAAAGATTGGTTCACCTTTGCTATGCTTCAAACTGACATTTGGGGTTAGCTTTTAGTTGTATTAGGTTTTGTGAAGTGATATGCTATAATTGCTAAACATGGTAATGTCAGTTGAACTTGACTGAATATCATGTTTGTTCAAACATCTGTAGTTCTAAATGTTAGTTCAAATTCATATCATCTGGCATTAAAATGTTTGTGTAGTTAACCCTATAACATTTTAAGAACCATTTACTGTATTGAAAATTCTTCTGAATAGTATAATGATACCTTAGTGCTTAACGGAATGAGAAAGTGGGATCTGACTGTTGCGAAATTATTGTTTATTCGGTTCTGTATGTACTATTTACTTGCAGACTGATTTCATAACATTTTGAACGTGATCTCTCTTATATATATATATATATATATATATATATATATCATATATGATTTATTTTCCAGTATCTAAATCATCATAAGGCAGTTAACAGTGTTGATTATTTGTGAAGAAATAGGAATTGTTATGTCTGTCCAAATTGGCTGTAGTGTTTAGGAGTAGACATGCTCATAAAGAGGTGAGAAGACTGTGAACTCAAATGTGTGTATTGTGGTGAATGTGAACTAAGCAGGAAAATATTTACATGGTAGATACTGAGTAACAAAAATTTCACACATCTTTGGCATTTTACTTATTAGTAGAATCATAAATCCAAATAACCAAATGGTGGAAAGCGGGATTTCTATACAATCTTCAATTTAAACGATTTAATAATTCTAACTATCTTACTTGATAAGCTTTTTTCAAATCTGTGTATAAGTTTCGGACCCCGTCATCTTAAACCAGAAAGTCTATTGGATACAGAGGCAGCTATAATAATACTTACAGTTATATAAAAAGAACTGGTCTGCGTTTGTATAGTGTTTGACGCTCACGTAGCTTATGCTTGCTACTTTCCAGGATTTTTAAACACTACAAATAATATAGGTAGCAATAAACCAAAATATACACTATAGAAGTTAGTCACGTAAAATAATTAGTTATCTGCAAACATGGAAAATAACAAATTTTATTTGATAATTACTCTACCAAATTCACATAACTAACATTCTGAAGTAAAGTGGCGAAATTTGTTGTCCGAAACATTTAGGACAGAGTCACCATTTAGAGATTGTTTTTGTAGCTATTGGATATTTTTAAACTTTTTCTGATGTCCGAAGAGTTTTCCAGAATTTTATTGAACTATTTATTTAGTGCCTAACTGAATTTTGTTTTTTCAGGGCAAAAACTGTGAAAACATTAAACCATGGATAAAAGAAAGAAGTGCCATAAATTTATGTAGAACTACGAGAAGTTTGCATACTTTGAATGCTGCAGCCTCAAAATACAAAAACATTGAGTGTGGAACGACGGGAAAAAATAAAATACAGTTAGTTAATCTCCAATAATTGTCTTGTGTTCACTATAAAGCATAAATCATATTTTCATAATTTGTAGCTGTAGAAATAACATCAAAGTATCAGAGCTGTAAAAAGTATCAGTATAGTTATATGGAAAAATAGAAACAGAAACCCCGGCTCCTAAATAATTCATTCATTGTGAACGCATAAATTGATGACCGACCGATTCGTCCATTTTAACTTTGTTTAAGAAAATATTTCGTACCAAGTCTGGAATTCTTATTTTAACTGTCAAGAATTTAGCATTGCGTCAATGTGCGCTAGTCAGTATTATACTATATCATAATGAAGATAAGGTTGTAAACATCCTCAGAAAGCCTACAAAATGGAATAAACTTTGAGTAAATGATATTTTGGCTATTAGTGTATAAACCTAGAAATGTTCAATTTATATCAGACTAAACTTACCATCATTTTTGAAATGCAGAAATGCTAAAGGTTCGTCAAATGAGAGGAAAGAACACGAGTATTGAAGGCGTAAATAAATGCTGAGTAAACGAATCTGGTGGGATATAAAAGCATCTTAGCAACTGAAATTTACTTTGAATCACTCACCAACTTATATGACTAAATCAAATAAAGATGAAATCGGCAGTTCTCCAGACATAACAGTTCGAACTCAATTTTTCACACGATGCGTGTTATTTATCAATCACGATTAAACTAATCATTACCAAATACTTTTTGTAATGTCACACGCCAGCAGCTCGTAATTCACTTTGATAGAGTACGGTAGAACGAAACATATATTAGCTAAACTCGTCAATTGGTAAAAGCCTGAATACTAAATCAGTGTCATATATTGTATAGGACTACTAATGAAAAGCATGTATTACTTGGCTATCTGATGTAATGGAATCCGGTTACTGTGATACTAAAATCATTCGGTTCGAAGTTAAGAGTTTTGAGTAAAACAATGGCACAAAATATCATTGAATAAATTGTGTTACCCATGTCTTCTTAAATATATTCCTTATACTCATTTTATTTGTATATTATACTGTATTTTACTAACCCGTGTTTTACGTTTAAAGTTTGCAATTGTAATCAGGTAGTTGGAACTATTATATCTTTTTTCATATGACACAAATTAGTAGTAGTTTTTATCCTCCTAAGACTAACATTTGTAATTATATATATATATATATATATATATATATATATATATATATATATATATATATATATATATATATATATATATATATATATATATATATATATATATATATATATATATATATATGGTTATAATGGATAATACCATTAGTTTCAAAAGTTTACATGAGTAAAGCATGAAAATTGATGACTTAATTTTTCTTATGTTAAACGATAAACAATAAGTGCTATATAGTACTGGATTTCTTTTTGTCAACAAATGTACAAAAATACACAATTCCACTGACCTCAGGCTAACAAAAATATACAATTTAAGTGGTTTGAACCCACGGTGTCTATCGTGGAAGACTAGTAATCCAGTGTTTTTCTCAATTAAATAGAATAAACTATATTTTTGATCGAGATGACAAAACTGATGTATTTGATGTTACAATATTGTGTTCATAGTTATTCACCATATCAACATGACACAATTCGTTAAAATAGAACTTTTTCATGTATTTTTGATGAAAAGCTGATAGAAATCTTTGGGGCGTTTTCATCCACAAAATACCAAAAATCAATATTTCAGAGCAGAACAGGAATAGTTAAGTTTACATTATTTGTATACTTTTCTTGATAAACCTTGATCATTGCTCAGAATACAAACAGTGTAATGTACAACTTTCAGTGTATTTATTATACGTCAAAAATAATCAATGATTTCAGTGCTGCAGATTTAAATACTCATGTATACTGTGACCTTAATCACCAAAACACAGCATGTTTTTTCAACAGTCCTTATAGCAAGTGTTTCGTTCTATATAACACTGAAGATGTAAATTTCTGATTAGTTTAGGCTAGAAAAACAAACAGCAGTCTCTTTATGATAACACTATTTTCTTTTCTTTTCACTCTTCGAATTACAGCTATTCATTTATCATCATCATCCGGTGAATCTATACAAACATTTTCCCATATACAAATAATTAGTCTCAACAGATTGTAATAACCAGGGGTATATTTGTACGGTATTTTTATAAATAATTATTATCAACCTTTAAGCCCATTAAATATTACTTACTCCTGTTACTCCTCGTGGAGGGAAATATATCGCCCACCAACACTCTCCATTCAACTCTGTCCTGAGCAATGCTTTCCAGCTTTTTCAATTTGTTATTCATTCTTTTTCATATCTGCTTCTATTTCCCAACGTAACGTGTTCTTTGACCTTCCTCTTTTCTGTTACCCTTCAGGATTCCCATTAGACATAAGCATCTAAAATTTCCTATTATTATTATTATTATTATTATTATTATTATTATTATTATTATTATTATTATTATTATTACCAATCATAGTTGTAAAGTTGAATTAGGAATCAATGAAAGTGTATACTCACTTACACTACATTTTCTTATTACTACAATAATAAATATGTAAACAATTTATTCCATTGAGTATTTAAATAATTTTTTTCTTTATAGGAACCGTTATCAAATAGGCGTTTATGATTATGTATTCGATTTAGTCAAAAGAGATGATAGTGACATAATTGATATTTATGATTTAATTGAAGTAAGTTATGTCATTATTAATGTATATTGTTACTGTTTTATGTATTTATATAATTTTTCATTTTTCACTTGATGTTGTTTACTTGTATTTTCCGATTATTGTTAAGGGTTGCAATTGATCAGTTTCTTGTTGGCATATATGCATCCTGTGCGGACCGCCTCGTTATCGCCTGAAGTCATAAGCTTTATAAACAAAGATGGATAGTGGCTAACAGTGGAATTCAGGACATGTGTTTAGTCCTATTTGGGACTTGTCAGCTGGATGTATCTGCATATCATAGTTGATGTTCACTCTGGGACTCATATGCACACATGCCAACAAGAGACTGATCCATTGTAGTCTTAAACAACAGTGGTAAGATACAATTAAACAATGCCAACTGAATATAAATTCACCAGACAGCACAAGCAGGTGGCTATTAGGACTCAGTAGTTAAGTGGATACCGCGATAATGTTTGAAGCGGACGGTACTCGGTTCGAGTCCAAAAGTGAACATAAACTCTGAGATGTAGGTAAATCCGGCTGACGAGTCTTAAATACGACGGAACGCGCGTCCGGGATTCTACTGCTAGTCACTATTCATCTTTGCTTATCATTTTTCATTGTTTAAATGTCTATTAAAGGAACTACGTAAAACTAATCTCATTATTGTAGAACTCTGAAATGACAGTTTAACTATCCAATCAATTGTCTGAAGATAATTAATCAATTTGAATCAGACTTAAGTCTAACAATCAGTTATAAACAAAGTAAGCTATGATACAAATGGGAACAGACTAAATTTATTACACATAACAATAGTATAGTATAGCATAGTAACAAAAAATATTGAATAATATACAAACAAAAGATAAGCAATAAATACATTCTGGGGGGGAGCGATGTAAATTTGGTTATATTGCTATCGATTTTAAACAATCTCATCTAAATTATCCTACTAAAGATTAAGATTAGTTCATGGTCCTTAATATAAAATTATCTATCTCCAGGAAATGGACAATCTAACAAATAAAAATTCATACTTTGACAATATCAAGTTACTTAAATTAATGACCACTTAGCAACTTGATTGAATAAAATTGTTCAGTTTTAAGGACTAAATAAACATGACAATGATCACTAATCAATGTAAACTGTTTCTTATTGTTTGATTAAGATATATGGTATAAAGGGACTTTTTAATAATGAAGTTGATTCATATGAGATGATAAATTTAAAAATAACATCACCATTATCGATATTCTTTAAAAAGAAGAAGAAGAAGAAGAAAAGAAATCGCTTTTTAAAATAATTGACAACATTGTTTGTTTTAAATAGTCAATTTACTCGGATTATTTTTTGATAGACAGTCAGTTATACGCAAATGCATATCGGTTCAATTTCTCTTCAGGTCATTGAATTAAAGAGATAAATTTATCAAGACACATTTTAGGATAGTAGAATTAGTAACAGGATCAATAATACTCAAAAACATTAGTTAAACAAAACAAGATAAAAATGTCTAAAAAGATTTTTGAACTTAGGATTCAATAGAAGATAAAGAGTGAATGCATCTACAGTATTTTGAATGATTCGGAACTATTTCACTTAAAATCTGTAACTATTGGCAACAGTAATAGTATATATCTTAACCAGTAGAACAAATCCTTAAATGAAGAAGATTGTTAGCTCAGGTGGATGATTTTGATGAAGTTTTATTCTCTAAGCAGAATGGTTTAGGTGTGTGGAAGTTTCATTATTCTTTTGAATGACATCATCAGAATAAATTTCAAATAGAAGTGAAGTGTATGAATTTCTTAACAATAACTAATCAAGATGGAAGTCTACAGGATAATCTATGAACCATATGTGAAGAAATTTGAACACTTTACTTCTATCTAAAGTTTATGTTGATGATGTCATTCAGAAGAATAATGAAACCTCCACACATCTAAACCATTCAGCTCAAACAAGAAACCTACTGGCTTCGCGCGCAAGCCGGTTCAGTGGTCTAGTGGTTAAGTGCTTGCGCGCGAAGCCAGTAGGTCCTGGGTTCGAGCCCCGCGTGGTGCGGGATTGTGGATGCGCACTGCTAAGGAGTCCCATACCAGAATGAAACGGCCGTCCAGTGCTTCCAGGTTTTCAGTGGTGGTCTAGCTTCAACTGACTCATGATTTCAACTTGTGAAATAGTTACATACTTTAAATGAAATCATTCAAACTCATTCACAATATTGTAGATACATTCACAAAATATACAACATTCCATTAAATTTTATCAATAATTCAAACTGATTTGTAATAACCTTTTAAAACATAATAATATTTAGGCCTAATAATTGTATAACTTAGATAAATGAATATGATGTATTTACAAATTAATTGAATGAACTTTTACAGGAAAAAAAGAATAATAAACAGAAACATTGAAACAATCTATTTTTTAGTAAACAAACTGACGGTTTTATCATTGATGAATCAATAAATGAAATTTACTCATCTTTGTAGTGAATATAAAGTTTTGCTATTTTAATGTATATCAGCTTGTGATGAACATTCTAATTTTTATTCCCTGATCATAATTCTCAACATGAAAACATGATAAATAAATTCTATATTTGTAATATCCTAATGAATAGAAAGTTAGATTTTCTGACGTTTCGTGACTTAGTGTAAGTCACTTCTTCAGAGAATAAATAACCAAATTAAAACCAATAAAATAAATACTTAAATGAAGAAGATTTTTAGCTTAGGTGGATGATTTTGATGAAGTTTTATTCTCTAAGCTGAATGGTTTAAGTTGTGGAGGTTTCATTTTCGGTCATTTATTCTCTAAAGAAGTGACTTACACTAAGTCATGAAACGTCAGAAAACCTAATTTTCTACTCATTGAGATATTACAAATATATTATTTTTATTTATAACAATCTACCCAATGCTCAATTTATTCGAAATATATCAAATCAAACCTTAGTAATGATACCTACAAACTCATGGAAACATGATGTTAATATTACATAGTGTGGTGTGTGCTACTAATTTTAGCAGATATAAGTACGATTTGTTATCAATCGAATGGGAAATGTTTGAAGGTATAAGATTAAGAAGATTGAAGAAAAGAGAACAAAAATAGAGAATGATTGTTGTGAAAACAAAGGAACTGTCAAGTCTGAGACCATTGATTAAACATTTTGTAAATAAAGTATTTACTTTATGGTTCTTAGAGTTTACTAAAAAAAATTCTGTGATTTTGTATTCAAATATATTCGATTCCCCCCCCCCATATTTGGAACCTATTAATTAATTGGTGTTTCTTATGGTCTCTTCATAATTACTGAAAGGTCATTTATGTCTCATAGTCTCGTCAGAAAACGTTCGAAATTGAATTTCAGTAAGATGAGAAAGTAATTCAGTCATTACCTTTTTTTTTTTGACCTAAAGGATTTGTCATCAATAGTGTTTGGAGTATCAATTGATTTCTCCAAAATGAGCCTTTTCGCAGTATCCGTTTGAGCTTATTAATCAAAATTATATATATACAGAATAAATAATACTCAATCACCAAGGAAATACTGTTTATTGGTCATAAATTTAAGGAATATATTACTAGTCATCTACTTAAAAACTATATGCAAAAGTCATTCTGAAGGACTCTTCATACCGTGAATCTTTGTATGATAGATCATAGTTACAATTTCATGTCTTTTTATCAATAATAAGTTAATATGATTGACTAATTCTATCTAATTGTAAACATCCACCTACTCTTAAGGAGTCAGGTACAATGATTGTTTTTCAATGTTTCTGCTTCATCACATTTGAGAATATTTAATAGGGTAGTTTAAAAGAAACCAGAAGATCAATTACCTTTTTTTCTTGTAACGCATATAGTAGGTTTTAAATATTCAGAGCTATGTTCTTACATTGATCTATTTTACAACGTACACTTGAGTATTTAAGAAGTATTTATTTAAATTTATTCCATATTACAAAAGTATTGACCATCCACAACTTAAGATTGGAATTATGTAGAAGAACAGTACATCAGATTGATCGCCTTATCGTGACCGTAATTTTCTATCATACTTGATTACTGTGTATTGTCTAGTAGAATGTTCTGAATCCTTTTGTTATTATAATTGTATCATTCTAGGAAATGTATTTTTGATAAAACTCCTGATTATTATTTACATTTTAGCTTAGCTACACTTGCGACTTCTACACTTTAGGTTATTAATTAAATGTTTTTGGTAATGTTACGGATTCTGTGATTTGAAGGAAACGAAAGAGGTTTATTAAAATAATTAAATGATGTTATAAATGTTAGGAAACCGAAAGTACAGAATAACTGTTTCGTTCTAGTTATTGGACTCGTCTGCAGTACACATTAATAACCCTGCCAGGGAACAAACCTAAAACTTGCATGTTCCGTGACAGGCTCTTAACCTACAGAATGCTGAGTTGTCATCTAGTGGTTTATATTTATAGTTCCAGTCGAATCACGATCTTGTGCAGATATCATCCATTGCCACCGATTATATATACTTGATACCCGATAAGGTTTAACTCCTGAGGTCATGACTTCCGATTGGAACTCTGGAAATTACCTCTCGAAGTTAGATTCATATAAATACGTGATAATTGTTATTATTGTCTTTGTCAATGAAATAGTTGTCCAGTTCAATTTTATTCCATGATAAAATAGTACTTTGAAAATTACAATCAAAGCCTTTCTAAAATCATTCTTCAAAATAATTAACAACTCGTTCTTGATATCATAATTGGTGAAGTTTAGCCATGGTTGAACAATAGAATAGATATTACTGATAACAAAGGATAATTACTTTTCCATAGATCAAATTACAAAAAATGTAAACTATGGACAATCAAATTTTCATCCAGTTGTAATATGATATCTGCATTACTGTGAAATTTTAAAGTATGATCTTAATTGTAGTCAATAGGTTGGTGCTATTGTGTTAAATCTAGACTAGGATAAAGCATCTATGAAGAAAAAATGGTTTTCATAATTATTGGAATACTTATATATTCATAGCCCCCAAATACCCTAGTACGGCCGGGAATAAGGAGAGTCAACTCTCCTTCTAGAAATGCTCTCACATGGCCACGTGCAAACAACCACTACCAGGAAAGTTCTACTCACTACCTCCTTGTGGCGGGGATGTTGTTTACGAAATCGAGAGGACGGAAAGTGAATGTCCGGCACTTTAAATGGATTGGTGGATGTGGAGGATCTACCTAGGGGAGTTGGAAAACCCTAATTCCAAACCAATGGTGTACATGGGCTCCAGGATCCTGAGGTAACAAATGGCATATGGACCAATCGTTGGTCACCGGCCACCATGGGACTGCATCTCCTGACGTTGCTCCACTGCCTTGTGGATCAGGCCTTCATGTCGAAGGCTCCGGGTGTGGCCCCCTAAGAAAACCACCTGCTTCTGTTTGGGTGTGCGGGCAGTATCACAGTCCTCATGCAAATCGAATGAATGTGGCGCAAATCTATTCGGTGCCTCCTTGTACGAATGTTTATGTGTTTAAATAAATAAATAAAATAATTATATATTCATATGTGGATGTGAAGGAAACATCATTTAATAATGACAATATATAAAGTATTTATATATTGAGAATAAATACTACGAAATATTTATTATTTCTACTGATAATTAAAATGTACTGGTGAAATATTAGTAGTAATCTCACTTTTAATGTAAATAAAACATTTAAATACTTCATATACTTACAAATTACCCACTTACTTACTTACGCCTGTTACTCTTTGTCGAGGAGCATAAGCTGCCCACCAGCACTCTCCATCCAACCATGTTTTGGGCAATGCTTCTATTTCCCAAAGTAATTTGTTCTCTGACCTTCCTCTTTTCTATTTCCCTTCAGGATTCCAAGTTAGTGCTTGCCTCGTGATAAATATCAAATATATAATTGAATATACTTGAACGGTTTAGAAGTAATATGTGATATAATAATTAAAGGTACTGTTGTGAACGACAAGCAATTGCATTTGTATATTTAGCAAAATGTGAATACCATCCATCCATCAATTGTCTCAGACTTTGTTGTTTCTTCATTTCCATATTAATCACTCTATGTTGCAGTTTTCTTCTATTCGATCTTCTCAACCTTCTACTGCCAGGTATTCTACTTTCGATTGATGTTACATACTACTTATATCTATCAACATGATTAGCACACACTTCAATACTAGGTTCTTAATTCAGTGAATATTTGGATATGCATTACTGAGAAGCGAAAAACTAGAAAAATCATCAGAATATGTATTATTAGCAAAGCTGTTTAATGTTAAATAGTTTTCAATAGTTCCAAAGATGATGATAATTATTAATCAAAACTAATTTCATATAGAATAGTTTCTACTAATTCTTTCACTTTAGTTATGCAATATATTTATTTAAGCCGTGATAAAATAAACAACAAATTCATATACATTTCCGCCTTAAGATAAACCTGATTATAACAGTCAGCTATAAAACATTGACCGATAAACTGCTATTACTGTAATGAACAAGAACACAGATGAGGACAAGAGAATGTATTTTATGCAAAATTACAGAGTTCTTTCGTAAAATGTGGAAACCATACGTTCAATAATACATTTGTAGATCTTACATCAATTGTCTCAAACTTCACCGTTCCTTCACTGACTTGACAATTGCACTCTGTTTCCGTTCTCTTTGATTCGATTTTCCCATCCTTCTGCTACCAGGCATTCCACTTCTGATTAGTGTTATATACTACTTATATCGACATAAGTAGCTTACACCACATTACTACTGTGAACATGAATGAATTTTTTCATATTATATTTAAAGAAATATATTTATAAAACTTTAAATTAACATTTTATCATTAAATTCTTTACTTCATTTTAAAGTTAATGAATAAAGCTGGTATATCATTGAATGATCCAAGATTAGCAAAATTTACAAAAGCGTTGAATGAATTACAAGGTAATAAAATCAATCGAAATGTTCTACAAAGTAAATCATTAACGTTGGATAGAGAAACATTTCGAATGTACGTTGTGTAATGATTGATTAGTTTTTATTTATGTTTTATACCAGATAAAATTTTTAAAGCAATTAGTCCCTTTGATAAATTTCGATAATGTTATAAGACGACGAAGATTTTTTCTGATTGAGATCATGAACCTATTAATGTTAGATCACCACCTTTGGAAATCTGGAAGCACTGGACGGCCGTTCCGTCCCAGTATAGGACGAGATTGCACGACCAACTTCCGTTGTACTGAGGTAGATACCTGTCTCTACCCGACATGGATTAGCTCCACTGGTCACGGCTTCTCGCTAGAACTCCGAGAATTCCCTCACGAAGCTAGTCACTAGTGAGCACATGTTTATCGCAATTTCGTGGATTGGTTGATGTTAGACACTATCACCATTGGATGCCAGCTCAATAGTCCAGTTAGTTAAGCGTTCGCGCGCGAGACCGAGGGCCCTGGGTTCGAATCCCGCGAGCGGGATCGTGGATCCGCACTGCTGAGGAGTCCCATACCGGGACGGAACGGCCGTCCAGCGCTTCCAGGTTTCCAAAGGTGGTGGTATAACATCAATCGGTTCATGATCCCAATCAAAAACTTAATAATCTCCACAACCACTATACTAGCAAGACGAAGATTATCAGACGCGGATTATGCTAACACAGTTAGTTTATTTTCCGAGGAATTCCAAATCATCTAAATGTATATAGATTCAGTGTATCTAGCCTTGATAATATTATTGATTAAAAATTAACAGAGTGATAAACTGAATAAATCTAAACAAATGTATGGCGTAATTCATAATTCTATATCCTCAAGATATAATATTAATCGTAATATGCAAGTGGAGGACATTGTGCTAAGTTATTCCCATTAATATGTATATATAATCTTCACTAGAACTCATGCTTTGGATGGAGATCAAACGCTCGGGTCACATTTTCACAACAGGAAACATTGTAAATTAGTATATTTATGATTTGCAAGACTTTATATACTGCTGAAATATGTACATTAATTAATCACTGAGTAGCAATCAATTTTATGTCATTTACTTCTTAGTTCTATTCAAAGTCCACCGGGTTGCATTTATGACGTGTATTATCTGTCCTAAATCGAGATTTAGAGATTTTTGTCCATTACTATCAAACACTGCAATATTTATTCGCTTAGACTAATGACTGATTGATGAACTAGTCCACCGAGTTCTATCAGAATCAAGGATTAGATAGGTATGACACTTTTTCTGACTGAGATAATGAATCTCTACAACCCCATACTGATGACATTATTTAGCAGTAATTGGTCAGTTAGCTCATCAAAATGTGTATTTGTTGCTTTCAAAGTACGCTAAGACTTATTTGTTTCACCCAACCTAATTCAGCAAAAGTTCCTATGGCTGAACGTAAAGTATAAATTGATTCATTTCACTATGCATAGATTCGTAAATAAGATTAGTTATTTCCAGAATTGCAACAATTTGAGCAAGTATGAAATGACATATGAAGCTAGAAAAGTTAGAGTTGATATAGTAACTTAACGATAATATTGATTGATAATCACGTTGTATCACAGTAGTTAGATTTAAAAATATGAGCCACTGAATTCCTACTCAGTGACTTGAAAGTATCCTTCTCATTATCAGTTTCCCGGTAGTTCAGGATTATATCCTTTGTTAGTCTCTGAGTATATGTTCTTGATGATATAAGGTCGGAAACATAGTGTTTTCTCAGTACTCCACTCAGTTTTATTAGTTATTTTATTAATTTCTATTTATACTGAAATAATTATATGATAAATTAAATTACATCGTTTTGATGGAGTTTTGTTCTCTGAGCTGGATGGTTTGGTCGTGGAGCTTTCATCGTTCTTCTGAACGAGTTCATCAGCACAAACCTGAACGATGAAAGTTTTCTTGACCAAAAAATCCAGCCCAGAGAACCAAACTCCATCAAAATCATCCACCTGAGCAACAAAATCTTCTCCACTATCTCAAATTACACTACGTTTCTTATTTCAGTGTAGCAAAAGAAAATCTTCATATGTTATTACGCATTATGACAAATGATTTTTGTATACCAGATTTTGAATCATTTACAAGTGAAATTCAAACAGTTTTTAATTTATGCAAAGAAAATACAAGTGGTCAAGTAGCCAGTTATATACCAGAATTAAAAGAAATGAATCCGAACTATTGGGGTTTATCATTGTGCACTGTAGATGGACAACGGTAAGTGTGATGAATTCATTCAAGTTTGAACAAAAGATTTACAGTATATATATATATATATATATATATATATATATATATATATATATGTATATATATATATATATATATATATATATATATATATATATATATATATAAATTTGATCCCGTGTCACCCAGCTTCACAGTCATAGGCGTTACCACCGGGCTATCCGGGCCGCAATATGATTCACCATAGGTATATTTACCGTGTTTAACGGTATAGTAATTATTTACTACTACAATTACTATTACTACTAGTGACTGCATCCTCTATGTGAATTGTTGAGAAGGCAAGTATTGAGACAAAGCGTTTTATAAAGCCTTCTTGTTTCTAAATGATTTTGTTACTAATGATGAGAACTGTTTTGAATAAATAGGGCAAATCAATTTCAACATTCATACTGAAAGTGGTTTTAGTCTTCATTATATACTGATAAGATGAACATTTTGATCAATAAATAGTTTATATCTACTGAATGATTGGCATCCATTAGATTGAAATTTATAAGTGATTTATTATTTTGTCTAATAGAATGTATCATGTTATAGATTCTATTAGGAAATAAAGATGGGTGTCTTTTAGTGTCGGATAATAGTAATGAATGTCGAAATTATTCAAGAAATGTTGTTTATTTTTTTATAACTTGATTAACTACTCATAACTTTAATTATTTTTAAGTAGTCGTATGTATTCAGTTCAATAATCACCATCGCTAATTCTTACTGTGTTTATTTTGAATGATATTATTCCATCAAATAATAGCCTATAAATTAACTATCTCCCAAGTTGTTTAAGGCCAAAATAGATACAGATATAAACAACGTAGAATTAGAAAATTATTGGTCAACTGAGAAGAATGACATTGTGACACTAGGGTTTCCTCGCGTGGATTCGAATCCTATCCCCGTCGCCAATTGTTTTAACTTGTGGCCTGAGTGCCCTGTTAATAAATAACGTAATAATACCGCCAATTAGAGAGCAGTGAATTATCGATCGGACCAAGGACGCGTAAAACAAGTACGAGCATCCTAGAGTGCTGATTGGTCCTGCTTTCCGCCTAGCCCAGACAGTTAAGTCCAGAACACCAATTTCAGCCTCTGCAATATGAATCATTTATTTCAAGCATACTGAGTTTATATACAAACCAGACAGACCACATTGTACCAATAAAATAGGAAACAATATTTGTACAAGATTTAGCTAAATGTGGCTGTGAATGAGGGAGGTAGTAATTGATAGACAGGGAATAAATCAATAATGGTAAATTATATAATAATAGTTCATAGATCAAAATAAAGCTTATGATAAGAGGGACTTGAATGTGAATAGTTTCGTTACATAACAATTATAAGGTAAAAACATACGCATATTATTGGTCTATAAATGGATCCCAAAAGTTACCATTCATTATGCATATCGGGACCTAACAATTAAGTAATACTTAAAGATTTTAAAGGGAATTAACAAATCAATATATCTGTAACCAATTTCAGGCCTTAAGAATTTGAGTTACTAGGTATCTTTAACGAGTTTATTATAAATCTTAACAAAAACGTTTAGTAATTGAATTCATGAGTCAGTTGAACCTAGACCATCATGGAAAACCTGGAAGCACTAGTCGTCCAGCTTCAATTGACTCATAAATTCAACTACTAAATTAGTATTATATCCACAAAACCCCTCTCTGATTATAATCGTCATATGCTCACTAGTGACGGTCTCCAAGATGTATTTCCTGGAGTTCTAGTGAGAAGCCGTGACCAAAAGAGTTCAACAGGATCTGTTGTGGCACAACTTCGTGGATTGGTTGAAGTTAGACATTAAGACCATTGGATGTCGGCTCAATCGTCTAAAGGTTAAGCGTTCGTGCGCGAGACTAATAGGTTCTGGGTTCAATTCTCGCAGCTGAGGAGTCACATATTAAGATGAAACGGCCATCCAAGTTTTCCATGGTGATCTAGCTTCAACTGACTCATGAATTCAAGTATTAAAATTACTATGATATCCACAATACCCCTCTCTGATTAAAATTTTTTTCACTAGTGTTAGTTACCTTCACAAATATTCTACTTGATCTTCCACTTTAATCAATTTTTAATGAAAACAGTTAAATGGTGGTTGGAGGCAGTCAACCGGAAACCCTGGACTGGGGTTTCGTGCTACTTGGCACTCGTCAGCAAAGTGTACCTGTAATCTTGATGGAACTGATGCTCCCTGACAGATTCGGTCCCGTGTCACCCAGCTTCACAGTCAGAGACATTACCACCGGGCTATCCGTGCTGCGACCGAACACCTGTAGGACTGTGATGTAATCATAATTGGTTGGCCACTGGGTGGTGATCAATGTCATGTGTGTCAAGTCCTTCTTAGTGTAGATCGAATGCTATCGATTTGACTGTGAAGCTGGGTGACACGGATCGAGTCCGTCAGGGAGAACCAGTTCTCTCAAGATTACAGATACACCTTGCTGACGGGTGCCAAGTAGCATGAAACCCGGGTCCAGGGTTTTCTGTCAACTACCTCGAACTACCATCTAATCTCAATATAGTGTACGCAATGTCGAGTCACTTAGACTAGTGGCCACATTGCAACTTGGTCGATAGGATTTGATCTGCACCATGAAGGACTTGACCCACATGACATTGATCATCACCCAGTGATCAATCAGTTGTAATATAATAAAAGTAGTCCAATGAATTCGATAAAATACATGCTTTACACAACTAGTAAAATCACTTTTTTTAAAATTGATTTATACACTAAACTATGGTTTTAAACAAGAATAAGTCACATCTATATTTATACTACTATTTATAGTAATATTTATCTTTTTAAACATAAAAATGAATTCTAATTCTAATAATATGGTAATTCAGTTTTTTTTAAAGGTAATTAAATGGTTCCTTTCAATAATTTATACTTGTTTCATAGAAAGATTATCGAAAGAATACTATCAATTATATAAGTGAATTACTTTCAAATAGATTCTAAGTTTAATCGGTTTGAATACATAAAATACATGAGTATTATCTTTGAAGTTAAATGATAATCATGGGTTCCTAATGATGATTTTAGTTTTTTATTTAGTTAATTGTATATTAGTAGAGATGGTAAGTTAATTAATAAGGTTGTAAAACTTCATTGAGTACATTAGTCAAGACATTGAATCCTTTATAGCGTTATATTAGCTTATATAGGAGTAGATTAGATAAAGGCTATGAAGATGATCAAACTAATATATAACATACCAGTTAATGATATTGATAATTAGTTTTTGTTTTACTTCATTTTACTCTTCTGATGTTTATATAGAATTTGACCATTGGTTGTATTCGTTGGATGCATCAGTGAATTTATTTTACTGAATAGTATGATTCCTAAAAAATAAACTTCAACCTTTTTTAAAAATAGCTTAATAACATTTACAAAATGTCATGAAAACATAACTTTGGTGGCCTTGTTAAGAATATGAAATATATATATCATGAGTATCTCTATGCAGAGATTAGATTCAGGGTTATGTATGTAATATCAATTATATAACTGGTTTAACAAACATAGCTTAGATACAATGAATTTTAGATTTGCAACTTGTTTAAACTCTACCTAACAATAAGCCACTGCTCCTTGATGATGAATACATAGCTTACTGCAGGATGTCAGAAGGAACTTATATGATCCGTTGAATTCTTGATAAACAATTACTGTATGTTCATCCAAACATCTTTCTTTAATTAGCCAATTACTTACTTACGCCTGTTAGCCCTCGTCGAGGACAATAGATCGCCCACCAACATTCTCCATCGAACTCTGTCATGGGCAATCCTTTCCGGTTGCTATTCATCATTTTCATATCTGCTTCCATTTCCCAACGTAATGTGTTCTTTGACCTACCTCTTTTCTGTTTCCTTTTAAAATTCTAAGTTAGGGATTACCTCATGATACAGTTTGGTGATTTCCGCAACGTATGTGCTATCCGCTTCCAATGACTTTTTCTCATTTCCTCTTTAGCTGGTAGCTGGTTTGTCCTCTTCTATAGAAGGCTGTTGCTGATGGTATCCGACCAACAGACATTGAGTATATTGTGTAGACAATTGTTTATAAATAATTTCACATTTGGATTTGAAGGACATAATATAATATAAAATAATGCCAAACTGTCTAACCCTCATTGATGATCCAGTTTCCATTGAGAAATTTAGAAGTGATGTTGTAAAGTAAATAGCTCAAGGTACATTTTTGATGATGGTTGTGATAGTTCGTCAAGTTTCACCTCCGTACAGTAGAATTGTCCTGACGTTCCTATTGAAGATTCTAACTTTGACATTATTTGACATTTGTTTTGAGTTGTATACGTTCTTCAACTACAAAGTCACTGATATAAGTAATAATTATGTGTTTCGTTGTGATTATCTTCTGTGGTCATCAAAAGTGAACAATGGATTATTGTCAAAAGAATCAACGTTTAAGTGATTGTAAACGATCATTGTTAGGGGATCTCTTGCTTTGATGTAACAACTTTTCATTAATTTTAACCGATTCTCTTCTATTAATATCTGTTTGTTCACTAAAACAATTATTAAATGGAATCATTAAAGAGACACTACCATCTAAATAACAAGTTTATTCAAGATTTTTGTATATATATACTCAACATTGATACTCGTTTGTGTTTATTTCTCCCTTCTTTTTCTCTGAAATTTCATTAGCTTATCCATGGGTGACAGCACTATCCCATTTACAATACAATCTAGTAGTAAACCAATTACATATGCATTAGCTTTGACCGATTTAGGTCCACAACATGTTCATCAATATGTTGGCTATGAACCATCAGGATTACCATTCAATCAAATTTCTTTAAATCATAAAAGTAAGTTAATAATTCAAGTTAAGTTTTAGAACCATTTGTTAAATAATCTAATGTTGTTGTAGTGAAGGAGAACATAAATGGGGGGCGATCGAATGTATTTGAAAACAAAATTACAGCATATCTTAGTAAAATCTGAGAACCACAAAGTAAATATTTCATTTGAAATATGTTGATCAATCGTCTCAAACTTCATTGTTACTGCATACTTTCTGTTCCCGATCTTCTCGATCTTCTATTGAAATACATTCTATTCCTGACTATTGTCATATACTACTTTTATCGATATAAGTAGCACACATCACATTGTACTTTTAATATTACTGAATTATCTAAATTAAAAATAAATGAATCAACAAATTTTCATTGTTATTCTGGACAATATGTATTTATCAGTACATACTTTAAGATGAAACCATTACACTCAAGGAAATCAATAGCATCAAATTATCGAATTGAGTTACAAATCTTTCCCATCGTTTTCAAAGGTTCTAACTATTTTTCATCACATTTTTATTACTACTATTTACACTATTTACTACTATTACATCTTTTGATATTTACGATAGAAACCACTTAGAAACTATACAAAATGTTTATTACTAATTTTGTGGAAATAAAGCAACCACAGATGTATTACTCTTTAATAATCGGAAACAATAAAGCTTCGTGAGGGGATTCTCGAAAGTCTAGTGAGAAGACGTGACCAGTGGAGCTAATCCGTGTCGGCTAGAGATAGGTATCTAGCTCAGTAAAATAGAAGATGGTCACGAAATTTTCGTGGATTGGTTGAGGTTAGACATTAACATCGTTGGGTGCCGGTTGGTTTATTAGTTTATTAGGTTGAATGTTCGCACGCGAGACTGAAGGTTCTGAGCTCGAATCCCGCGAGCGAGGTCGTGGATTCCCGCTGCTAAGGAGTCCCACAATAAAACGAAACGGCAGCCCAGTGCTTCTAGGTTTTCAATGGTGGTCTAACGTCAATCGGTTCATGATCTCAATCAATAAAGTCAACTTAATTATTTATGTATAATTTTTCATCAATTTATATTTAAGTTTTTACTTTTTGTAATGTTTTTCCTATAAATAATGAAGTTCAATTATGTTAGGTGTGAGGCAAATATTCAATGATGACTTTGAAAAAAAAGATAATTGAGTAGCATATCGTGAATTGATTGAAGTCAAGAATATTAACTATTGAATATTGATTCATCATTTTAAATAGTAAGCGCTCAGTATGAGATCTAAAAACTTTGAACCGTATCTTTTTCGAGATCGTACATATAGAAGGTTTGAGATATTATGACCAAATAACTATCTGGTACTGTTTAACTTTTAATTGTTGTTTAATTAAGACCGATCCTTGATGACCTAGCCCTCTTATCCCATACACACGAACAAATGCATATGACGAGAACTAGTATAAAAGCAGCCTCTGCATCAGTAGGCCTCAACATACACAAAAGAAATCGCAAGATCCTCAAATACAACACGGTGAAAACCAACCCATTCACAATTGATGGCGAAACTTTGGAAGAGTTGGAGTCTTTCACGTACCTGAGAAGCATCATCGATGAACAAGGAGGATCGGATGCAGACGTAAAGGCGAAGATTAGCAAAACAAGGGCCGCATTCCAATAATTGTAGAATATATGGAAATCAAAACAACTTTCAACCAACATCAAATTCAGAATCTTCAATACGAAAATCAAGAAAGTTCTACTGTGCGGAGCTGAAACTTGAAGAACTACAACAACTATCATCAAGTTGGTATAAGTGTTTATAAATAGTTGTTTACGCAAGATACTCAACACCCATTGATCGGATACAATCAGGAACGGCATACTGTGGGAGCGAACAAACCAGTTTCCATCTGAAGAGGAAATTAGGAAAAGACTATGGAAATGGATAGGACATACATTACGCAAATCGCCAAACTGCATGATGAGGCAAGCCCTAACTTGGAATTGTAAAGGGAATCGGAAAAGTGGAAGACCGAAGAACACATTACGTCGAGAAATAAAAGCAGATATGGAAAAGATGAATAACAACTGGAAAGAGCTGAAAAACATTGTCCAGGATAGGGTTGGATGGAGAACGTTGGTGGGCAGCCTATACTCTCCCACGAGAAGTAACAGGTGTATGTGAGTAAGTTGATATAAACTATGAAAAGTACCATATTTTTTTCTTTTTGTTTTAATTCAAATAAATAAAATAATTTTATTAATTTTATTAAAATAAATATCAACAGTTGAGATCATGAGTTTATTGAAGCTAGATTACCATGAAAAGCCTGGAAGCACTGGACGGCCATTTCGTTCTATTATGGGACTCCTCAACAGTGCACATTCACAGTCGCGTATTTCAAGATTCTAACCCAGTCTCACATACAAGCTCTTAATCACTAGACCACTGATCTGGCCAGCATCCAACGGTGTTAATGTTTAACTTCAACCAATCTACGAAATTGTGCATCACATCCACCATTGTCATCATTAGCTTCAATCGACTCATAACCTCCACTATTGAAATTACTATAATCTCCATAAAACCCCTTATGATACTCAAATATATATCACTTTCTAAGTATCTTTTCGTTTGAAATAATGATTTTATTCTCAATAAATTTTTCTACCTGGATGAAAATCAATAAAAAATTTTCTCGTTTTTTTATTATCCATTTATATTTTTGTAACGGTTACTTAATTGTTTTATAAACAGAAATACTAGAAATCTATATTAATGATATTAACCAATCATATTTTATAACCCTCTTGAAATTAACCAATCATATTTTATCTTTTCATAGATTGGGATATAATTTATTATTGAGTAATTTATCAATAAAATATCTTTTTATAGACAGAATCTATTTATTTCGTTAATATGATAAATTAAATCGAAAAGGATAGTGATAAGATTTATAATTTATGAACGATCATTGAGTGATGCTAGACGGACTTCGAAAGTGTTCACTTAATACTGACTTACTTACGACTGTTACTCCTAATGAAGCATAGGCCGCAGACCAGCATTCTCAAACTCACTCTGTCCTGGGCATTCGTTTCTGATTCCATTCAATTCTTGTTCATTTTACTCATATCTATCTCTATTTCCCGGCATAATATGTTCTTTGATCTTCCTCTCCTCCTTTGTCCTTGAGTATTCCATATGAGGGCTTGTCTTGTGACGCAGTTGGATGCTTTCCTCAATGTATGTCCTATCCACTTCCAGTGCTTCTTCCTAAATTCTTCCGATGGGATCTGGTTTGTTCTTTCCCACAGTTGGTTGTTGCTAATAGTGTCTGGTCAACGGATCCTAAGTATTTTGCTTAGACAACTGTTAATAAACACATGTATCTTCTGGATGATGGCTTTCGTAGTTCTCCAGGTTTCCGCCCCATACAGTAGAACTGTCTTGACATTTGTATTGAAAATCCTGACCTTGGTGTTGGTTGACAGACAGTTGTTTTGAGTTCCAGATGTCCTTCAGTTATAAAAACATTGCTCTTGCTTTACCGATCCGCGCCTTCACATCTGTATCAGATCCACCATGTTCATCAATGGTGCTGCCCAAATATGTAAAGGTTTTTACATCTTCCAAATGTTCTCCGTGAAGTGTGATTGGATTGGTGCATGCTGTGTTGTATCGCAGAATCTTGCTGTTCCATTTGTGTATATTAAGATCTACTGCTGCTGAGGCTGCTGCAACACTGGTCGTTTTCTCCTGCATTTGTTGTTGAGATTGTGATAGGAGGGCCAGATCATCTACAAAGTCTAGATCGTCCAGCTGCATCCTGTCTGTCCACTTAATAACCAGGATCAAATTAGGATTATGAAACCGTATGAGGAATTCAAATAAAGATTTACAATTGATGATTAAGGGTTAATGATTAGATTTCAGGTTTCCACCACGAATTGACATTAACTATAATGACAAGACTTTATTTAGCCAAATGGATGAGTGAGTTTCCTGTCAAATTCCGAGATCTATTATCTTATACATGATTGATTCGTTCATAAATTATAGTTTGGTCAGAAAAGTCAATTTATGGTCATATTGAAAAAAAAGAAAAGAAATTCAAACTTATTATTCAAGTTAATAACTTTCTGAACTCAGTAGATACGGTGGATAATGTTTAAGTTGTTTAAAGTAAAACAGAAAGTACTACGTTTGAATTGTGCTATAGATATTAACACTGTAATACAGATGTGTATTAAGCTAACAATTCTCAAGTATAACAAAGTGCTAACCTTAAATATCACTGCTAGCTATATTTTATCTGCTCTTTAAAAATAAACTGTTATTTATCTCAGATTTAAATCATGAGTCAGTTGAAGCTAGACCACCATTGAAAACCTGGAAGCACTGGACGGCCGTTACCAGTGGAGTTCAACCAGGTCTGTTGTGAGATATCAGCTCACTGAAGACAATGGTGTACGGTGGCGCGACTTCGTGGATTGGTCGAAGTTAGACATTAACACCGTTGGATGCCGGCTCAGTGGTCTAATGGTTGAGTGCTCGCGCGTGAAGCCAGTAGGTACTGGGTTCGAGCCCCGCGTAGTGCGGGATCGTGGATGCGCACTGCTGAGGAGTCCCATACTAGGACGAAACGGCCGTCCAGTGCTTCCAGGTTTTCAATGGTGGTCTAGCTTCAACTGACTCATGATTTAAATCTATCAAAATTTCTAAAATCTCCACAAACCCCTTCTGATTTTATTTATCTCTTGATATTGTAAATAAAATAAAATAGACGTTTGAAGGCATTATGTCCATAATCAAACTTCAAGATCCTTCTTGTTTGATCCCATGTAGGTTTGTTAGTGGATACACGGTGTTAACCAGTCAGTTCTAATTTATAATGAAACAATCAATTTGTTCTCCTAAATCTTCTAAATAATGTCAATTTATGATAAGAAGGACTGTTAAAAGATCTATCTTCTGAAAAACATTTAGCTTTGCGAATAACCGTAAGAGTCTTTAATAACTAATTTATTTAACATTCTCTACTAACTAATTTCACATGAGTTATTTTAATTATGAGTATATCGGCACATATTTTATGGTTTATAAGCAAATATGGATAATGGTTATCAGTGAAATCGAGGACGTGCATTTCGTTCTATTTGGGACTCATTAGCTAGATGTACCTACATTTCAGAGTTGATGTTCACTCTGAAACTCGAACCCACTACCGTCCGCTTCAAACACCATCGAGATATTCATTTAACTACCGAGTCCTGATAGCCACTTACTTGTGCTACTATCCAGTTTTGCTTATAAAGCTTGTGATCTAAGACAATATCGAGGCAGTCCGAACAGGATGCACATAAACCAGTAAGAGACTGCCCAATTACAGTCCTAAATAACAATGGAAAGATACAAGTAAAAACAACATTAAGTGAAGAATATATTTTATGATTTATTGAAAATTATTGTCTAATGAATATTTTTTTTAATTTAAAATGTTTATTTATTAAATAGATAAACCACATAATCCTTTAATCAATTCCGGTGCATTAGCTATTTGTAGTATACTACAACCAAATTTAAATCCTTCAGAACGTTTTAAATATGTTGAAAATAAATTTAGTCAAATGGCTGGTGGATTACCAATGGGATTTAATAATGCTGTGTAAGTTTAATATTTTTGCATTATTTTTTTTTATTTCTATAGTTGAAGAGATAGTAATAATTCTGTGTGTTGGTAATGATGGATCAACTTTGAAAAATGTTACCATGGCAACCTTCAAGACATATTGATGAATGAAAAGTCTAATAATTTGTGGATAAATCAGTCAGTAATTCATTGATAAGAATAGATGAATAGTCTGGATTATCTGAGATGTATTAAAGTAGATATACAGAGGAGTGAAATTTCAACTTTACAGCTGAATAGTTTATTCATGTTACTGAGGCGAATCGACTGTTGTTGTTGTTCACACTGACAACGAATTTGGAACAGGAACAAAACTGTCATATGATGTCCGTTCGTGAGATTTACATAATTATCTACAGCATTACCTAGTTTTGAATATTTTTTTTTCAACGTTATTTAGTATAAGGTATTTAATTTAATTCTTTCTTTACGATCAGTTGATGATATGTCAGGATAAATATGAGGCGAAAGTGATCTTTTGGAACGATCCTATCTGATGTTATTATTCATATTCTTATTAGATAATTAATAAATAATGGGAGAGAGACTATAATTTATGGATGAACCAATCAGATTTACGATAAGAGGTTTTGGGTTTTGGCGCGAAATTCAACCACCCATTTGGTCAAATAGCGTCTTGGCATTTTAGCTGATGTTGTTTCGTGATGAAAACGCTCAATCTAATTCCTAACCTTAACCACCAACTGTGAATGATAATCGCTATTGTTCAAACTTCTTTATAACCCTGATTTAGCCCTAGTAAGTAGGTAGAGACCCTGAAGGTCAGTCTGGCGTTGCTCAAAGGTCGTCAATAAATTATAGCTTCACCGCTTCGCTTTTTTAGAGTTAGTGTTAATTTATCACAGACCTATTATTCAATTGTGTTTCACTTATGACTCAGTTATGTCTAGATTGTATCTTAATTTTTTTGATGTAACGTCAGAATTTTACTCGATATTCATAACTTTGAACTTGATAAGCTATCTGCTTACTGAGTTGTTTTTTATTCTGCCTACTGGATGACGGAATGTGGGATGTTCTATTCTTGATCAATTATCATTTATTATTACTCTCGGCTGTTATCTTATTGGTTAGCTGAGGGTCATTGGCATCAAACAGACAGTCTAAACGAGCTAATCAACACAACTCCTTACCTGATTTATGGTCCAATCTCACCGCTTCCCAAAAGCCTGAACGAGAAAATCTGTTCATTTTCATTGACTAATCAATTGATCACTCAGTAGCGATCAATATCTTGTATGTGAACTACATTTCAGTACTCATCAGATTCTATCGATCAAGTTTCAATGTTGTCACTAGTCTGAGTGACTCGGCATCGTGTACACAAGGTTGATACGTAAGGTGGTGGTTGATAGTAGTTGACAGGATTGAGTAGGTGTAAATATATTTCAGATCTGTAATAGGTCAGTAGTGACCCGAACAATTCAGTGGTAGCATCTTTAAGTTAGGTGGAACGGGATCGAATCTGCCAAAGTCTATTAGTTCCTACAAGATTACAGCTTCACCTTAGTGATGGGCATCAAATAGCATAAAACCTAAGTCCATGGTTTCCTATCGACTACCTGCAATCACAACCTTGATTATTTGTTTTTGAAAGATTTTGGTTTCAGTCACATTCATATGCTAGCGTTTGTCATCATTTTACCATTGAAAATCAAAGCTAACTGTATATTGTACCTACAGTCAGGAAAAATATTTGAACGTTATCATTTGAATTAAGCATTGTTAGCTGTACTCATTGCTTATTTATAGAATTTAACATTAGCGTAGTTTCACACTGATATTATTTCATCAAATATTTTGATTATGATACTGTACTACTATTGAGGAGCATTGAGTACGTTTTCCTCATGTACAAGCTATTAAGAATCATTGGTTCAATGTTTTATCTTTCACAGCTTGGTTTCAGCCTGTCTAGTATAAACGGGGGGTTAAATCTAATAATAATCAGCTATTTTTAATAGGTTACTGTTTTAGTATAAAACTCTTGAATGAAGTCGAACGCAAAGTCCTTAAACTAGAAAAATCTTAATTCATAGATTATTCTAAGCACTTCGAAAAATGTTCAATACACGAAAGTGTTTTCCACAGTTTTGATGATAACACTGAGGGTAATATACAAATTACTTAAATTTGATAACATCGTTGTTATTTATCTTTTTACTTACTTCTATGATGCAGTTTGGGTCAGTCAAATTTTTAATAATTTACTCCTTCGTCCTTGTAAACACCTTTCAAACTGGGTTATCAAATGTATGATCAAAACTGTGGAAAACTCCATCCATTTCAAACGTGTCAGAGTAACATGTCTGATTAGTTATTTTCAATAATTTATTAGGCTATTTATTGTTTAACAAAGTGTTTCAGACTCAACGTCCTTTAAATAGCATAAGAAATAGCTGTTTAGAAATAAAGAACCTGGAGTTTTATGTATAAGAATATTACGCTCAGTTACTTTCCTTTCTTGGTCAGTTTCAGGTCTAATAAATCAATAGTCATCTTGATAACAGGTTAACTGAATTTGAGTAATGTGCAGACACCCTTCAAATTCCATCTGTAGCTCTTCTAGAGTTACTATCGTTCCCAAGCCCCGGTAAAGGAGAAGGGTTTGGCATGAGGTTAACGAACCCATCCCGTAGAAAAATAACTCTCTAAAAAAAACACAGACACGCTTTTCCATTGGATTTTCGTAATTTAAATTTGCTTTATTCAAATATTATTATGATTATTAAATATGAACATGCTTCCAAATACGTGAATAGTTTAGTTGTCACCCATTATTCCTTATTAGTCCTTACTGAATTGAAATCAATCTATATTTTATTATATAATCGTTGATCAAACATTTGATTCGATTTGTAATTACATTATTACTGTTTTTCACTGTATGTTCTCTTAATTTATCCTGACAATTAGGATTTATTTGACGTGTAGATTTATTCAAGTTAACATTATGTACTGGTTAGTTTTACATGAGTATTTCACATGTATTCTATTATAGTGGTTTAGCTTCATTAATTAATCACTGTTATTGTATAAATCCCCAACGGTGTTTGAAATCAAAAGGCAATAAAGAGTGGCGATTATAGTTTATTAGCGGAGAGCATGAATCACTAAGTTATAAGCACATCGAGAGCGTTTGGAGTAGAGAGGCGAATTCATAGTCAAATCGAATCAAGACACAGCTAGCCAAAGCAAAGGCTAATAAAAGGATTTGTGGGAAAGAGAATGATTGATCGAGTGATATTAAGGCTATCACATCTTTAAGCCAGAGAGAGAGATATATGTACGTAGGTTGTCGTGTGATCAAGAGTACTCATTTATACAGATAATGTCTGTTAAGTAAGTTAATAAAAATGGGATTAACCAAAATTAACCATAATCGAAATTGATTGTAAGACAGTTGCTATACTATAAACCATTTTGAATTCCTATATGATATAATTTCCAAAAAAACAACATTCTATTTCAGTAGTTGAGACCATGAATCAGTTGAAGCTAGACCACCATAGAAAACCTGGAAGCACTGAACGGAAGTTTCGTCTTAGTATGGGACTACTCAGCAGTTTGCATCCACGATCTCACCTCGCAAGATTCAAACCCAGAACCTATCAGTCTCACGCTCAAGCACTCAACTTTTGCTGAGGAGCCCCATTCTAGGATGAAACAGCCATCCAGTACTTCCAGGTTTTCCATGGTGATCTATTCTATTTGTTTGAACCATTTTCATACTTTTGGATCATTAATTTATGAATTTGAGTAGTATTTATTAAAAAGAAATAATTATTTATGATTTGTTTTTTGTTTAATTATTTTATTTATTAAATTATTTTTAGATTTTTATCAGAACGTGAAACAGCTGATCGTAATTTTGCTATTGCATATTATATGCGTGAAAATAAATGTTTCCCGCCAACTTTTGAATTACGTGAATTAATGGATTTTTATTTTCAAATATGTTCAATTGAAGTAACATGTGAATCAGCTGGTATTATGGCTGGAACATTAGCAAATGGTGGTATTAATCCATTAACAAATGAAACTGTAGTAAGTGCAGCTGCAGCACGAGATACTCTATCTGTTATGCATTCATGTGGAATGTATGATTATTCAGGACAATTTGCATTTAAGGTAAATTGTTGTATCATCTTTTGAGTTTAAATTTAATGGGATAATTGTCATTTTTTAATTGGAGAAACTGGAGGCAAACTAGATTTTTAAGTTAAAGAACTATTTTTGTTAGTTTAGGGGTTATGGATATTGTTAATTTTTTGATTAAAATCATGAACCGATTGATGTTAGACCACCATTAAAAACGTTTCATCCTATTATGGGACTCCTCAGTAGTGGGCATCCATGACCTCGCTCGCGGGATTCGAACCCAGGGCCCTCAGTCTCACGCGAAAACGCTCAACCTACTGGACCACCAATGATGTTAATGTCTAACCTCAACCAATCCAAGAAGTTGCGCGACCATCTCCCACTTTACTGAGGTAGACACCCGTTTCTACCCGACACGGATTAGCTCCACTGGTCGTGGCTTCTCACCAAAATTACGAGAATTTTCTCACGAAGCTAGATACTAGTGAGCACATGGTAATTATCAGTTTAGGGGTTGTGGAGATTGTTAAGGTTTTGATTGAGATCATGAGCCGATTGATACTAGACCACCACTGTTATTAACTTGATTGTATTATAAATAAACTGGTTATTTGTAATGGAATAACACCAACTGAAGGGTCGAATATATATTGTGTTGAGGATGTTAGATCCCCAGAACTCATTTGATAAATACCATATTTTTGTTTTCACGCCAAACGCTATTTTTCACCTTCACGTTGTATTTCCCACTTGGGAGAATCGTAAACACTATTGGTCCGTTTTATCTTTTAGTATACTATTTTGTAACGCTTCCCAAGGACAGTTTTATGCTGTATATATACGTTTGATTTGTGCCTGTTGTTATGGCTCGTGCTTCTGGTTGCTTGCGGAATATATTCCCCCGTCCTAACTTCGACTTTATTTTCTAGTTAGCGGAGCTGGGACGCATCATAATATCTAACATATTGCTCCTTGGTCACAGAGTCTTTGTTCCGTTCTCAGACGAGGTGAACTCGTAATCGCTTCAAACATAGCATATTGTCCTGTATTTTCTTTATTAGTTTTTGACTCCTTAACAATGCACACTTTACATATGAGTTTTGAACTCACGATTTCCAGGTTTCTCTAGCAGCATGATTCCTTTAAAAGCTATAAGTTACATTCAAATGGCTTACATTTTATACCTTGATTAACTTGTGTTAGCAAATCATACTGGATCACATTTATTGACCTTCAGTGATTATTTAACCGTTTCAGTTTATAAAGAAAAAAATAGTTCGAGACTATTCAACTGCCTGTGCAAAATTCTCCAACTAAAGAAAACATTTTATCTCTATAGTATAAATAAGCTAAGTTATCTTAGACAAGAATAACAGTGATTATTGTTATTGACGATTATTCGACAAATGCAGGGACATTCATCAATCATGGAATCTATGAAAGATGTACTTAGAACAAAATTAATCTGTAGTATGACTTTAATGATCTTGTTAAAAAGAGAATTTGACAAGACTATAATTTATGGACGAACCAATCAGATTTAAGGTAACAAGTCTTGGGTTTCGGAACAAAATTCATTCATCCAGATGGTTAAATTGCGTTTTAGCATTATAGCTGACGTCAGTTCATGACAAAAACTCTAACTGTAATTCTTAACCCAAACTTCTAACTCTAAACTCCGATTCTTATTTCTCACACTAATTTATAATCCTCTTTAGACCTTAATAGGTTGGTGAGTTTTCTCAAGATCACTTTACCGTTGCTCAAAGGTTGTCCGTAAATTATAGTCTCATTCAAAACTCATTTTATAATTTAAAGTTACTGATTATCTGTAGCTACAATTAACTATTGTTAATAATGTAAGGGAGCTGATGTTTAGATAAGTATCACACAACTTGAAGGGCATTGGTTCAGTCACTGAAGAGGTTATGAAAACAACAGTTCCATACCATAGCTGGACAATACTTCTTGATTTTTAATAGTTGTTCAACCAAAGGTCAATAATCTCCATACTGACGAGTTTATATTGATGCATTTTGTACAATATACGTAAATACATAATCTTACAGTATCGTTTTATAAGTACCACATTTCTCTAATCATTCATTGCTTTCTTTTACATATATACATATATAAACATTTTACATTTACTTAAAAAGGTTGGTTTGCCATGTAAATCTGGTGTATCCGGTATCATCATGGTAGTTGTGCCTAATTTACTTGGTTTAGCTGTCTGGTCACCGCCAATTGATAGACATGGGAATTCGGCTAGAGGTATACAATTCTGTCAAGTCAGTGCTATTCACTTATTGAATGTTGATTTTGTTTTAGTTAAATTTTCATGTTTTTTTTAAAAAAAATTCCGGTTATTCGCTGTACTTATTCGGGGGATTATTATTTGAGCAACTGACCAAATAGTAAAACTTGAAAAAAGCTGAAAGTTACTTTTAGAAGTTTCTACGTATACCTTTGAAAGATGATTTTAGTTCAAAGCATTACGAAGGATGCTGTTCTTTTCATCATATAATCCGGTATAAGTATATCGGTTCACATAGTCCATTCCCGCTAGTTGTGTTAATTGATGATTGAAGGTTTATTACATGTAAGAACCCCTTAAAGTATGACTTAGGAGGAGACAATTGGGGATCGATTACTTCGTTTATGATACAATGCATATTATGTTTTACCTATATTTTTTTCAAGCTCATTTACAAAGTAGAGTTAAGCATTCAGTGTGTTTATCACCCTTGATCTATGTTACTCTATAAAATGCTTAGTTACCCACAGTTTGAAACTAGACTTATATGTAGAAATAGATTGATAGATTGCTTTTTCACTATGATGATAATCCTATCATATTTTAAGTTTAATCAGTGTTTTCTAAAACGCTTCCTTTCATCATGAACTGACATAAGTTAGGAAACTTTTATAAAAACAATAATCGCATTATACCTGTTTCATATTAGTATGTAAGTTCTCATCATAGTACACTCATGAGTGTATATCAGATGGGGTTGAGAACATTTAGATTATACCTATAATTTCAGTAATGTCGTCTGTAATTGATTGAGAACCCTATGGGTAACATTATTTTTTTAAAAAAGATTTTAGATATGTAATTTTAATTCCATCTTAGTATGAGACTCCTCAGCACTTCTTATCCACGATCCATCTTTTCGAGGTTCGAACCAAGGACATATCAGTCTTGCGCGCGAGCGTTGAACGTCTGATGAGGAGTCTCATAATAGAATGAAACAGCCATCCGGCGCTTCCAGGTTTACCACGGTAGTTTAGCTTCAATAGACTCATGAATTCAACTATTAAAATTACTGTAATATCCACAAACCCCCGTCTTTTTGATGGAGTTTTGTTCTCTGAGCTGGATGATTTGATCGTGGAGCTTTCATCGTTCTTCGAACAATTCATTTCTACCTAAAGTTTGTGCTGATGATGTTGTTCAGATCAAATCTTCCTTATCATCACATAACCTCTCTCTCATTTTAGATTTGATTTAATGATGAACATAAAACATACAATCTAGTTTAAAGACTATCTTCTGTTTATTTGTTTAACCATATTACATCCATTATTATTCTGAAAATATTGATTATTTGTAAATGGAATAAAACATATTACCCATAGTGGTATATCTATTGACTGAATTCAGAATTTCCAGAACATTTCAAATCGGTTTTTAATATGGTTTCAATAGATTTACTATTTCTTGTAATTATCAATGAAACCTTAGTTGACATTCCATGAATTATTGATTCTTTTATTGTTATGGATAAAATTGATTTTGTTTGTTTATATAGTTGAGTTAAAAGTTCAAATTAGTCAGTATTGTTGGACAATTCATATTGTACAAAATGTAGTTGTATAATAAATAAACCAAAAGCAAATTCATATTGACTAGTATAGAATAGAACAATTACTTATTTTTCCCATTTTTTGTTTGTTTTGTTGTAAACAAGTATATTGTCAATATACTAGTTTGTAATCTTAAAGTGTAAGTTTATTAGTTCAGTTTTCGAACAATGTTTTTGTAATATTCACGAGTTACTTACTCCTGTTACTCCTAATGGAGCATAGGCAGTAGACCAGCATTCTCCAACCCACTCTGTCCTGGGCCTTCTTTTCTTGTTCAATCCAATTCTTGTTTATTTTTCTCATGTCTATCTCCATTTCCCGGTGTAAGGTGTTCTTTGGTCTTCCTCCGCATGGAGCCCCTTAGGGGGTTACTACCGGTCCCAAGCCTGGATAAAGGAGAAGAGTTTGGCATGCGGTTAGCGACCCCAATTCAATATTCAAGAGTATTTGAATTATAGTATGAACTAGGAATCCCACAAATAACGCAATCGGATCATGAACTGTTAGATAACCACAAATGAATGTACTGTATTTAGAATTCGATATCAAGCATTCAACAAGTACAGAGGTATCATAAGTTCATTCAAACACCACAGTTTTTTTCACTGAAATAATTGATAAATGTAGAATTCAAAACTAATTGGTTTTGTAGTGAACAGAACACGGGTGCGGACAACCAAATGTATTTTTTGCACAACCATCACAGACCCCGCCTGGAGCCCCTCCGAGGGCTACTGCCGGTCCCAAGCCCGGATAAAGGAGGAGGGTTGGGCATGGGTTTAGCGCCCCCATCCCGTAGAAAACTAACTCGCCAAAAACACGCTAACCAGAAAAAATTATTCAAAATCTGAATACCATTTAGTAAATTGTCAATTTGCAAAATATTCATGCATAAAATCAAACTGGACTGTTTCTGTTACAAACACCAATCCATTATCTCCCATTCCATTGTTCATGCGTTTTCTTATAAATTTCATTGTGTTTTCGCTCTTTTTTTCTTGATCGTTCCCTCATCTTCTGCTGCCAGACATTACTCATATCAATTTAAGTAGATCACACCACAGTCTTTGTATTTAAAAATAATAATAATAAAGTTTTAAGTTAACTTGCCACTTACAGTATAATACACTAATCACCGGGGAGATTTTAATTTCTAAACGAACTAATCAGATATAAGATAACAGGGTCTTAGATTTTAGCTCGAAATTCATTAACCCATTTGGCTAAATAGAATCTTTGCATTATAGTTTATGTCAGTTCGTAATCAAAACATTAAATCTAATTCCTAACTCTAACTATCAACTGTGAATAATAATTCTTATTCTTCAAACTGCTTTATAATCCTCATTTAGCCCTAGTAAGTAGGTAGCGACTCTCAAGATAACTTTAGCATCGCTCAAAAGTCATCAATAAATTATAGTTTCACACTAATCATCACTTTAACTTTTAAAAAGTTAGAAGTGATGATGAATTCAGATTGAAATTTTGTTTAAAGAGGATGAAAAATTAAAAAAGTACTACGTCGGTACTATGTGTTTGATAAATAGAACTTTGGTAAATTTGTGATAAATATCGCCTAAATATATTGGAAATCAGCCATTTCATTTTAATATAGGGCTCCATAAAAGCTTATACTCAATAGTAGCATACCAAATTCAAGAAGTTTAAGCACAAAAGCTTTTAATAACCTTATTGAGATCCACAACTATTGTCCATTGTCATCTCTGATATTTGAAAATCCTAGTTTCTATCTCATGTGAAGTCATAATTGTGCTCTATTGAATTGTATATAAGTATGAAACACCTAGCCAATCAATCCCATTTTTTCATCAGTTTTTAAGTTAAAGTCAGTGTATTTATACTTACTTACGCCTGTTACTCTTCGTGAAGGAGCATAGATCACTCACCAGCATTCTCCATCCAACCCTGTCCTCAGCAATCATTTCCAGCTCCTTCCAGTTGTTATTCATCCTTTCCATATCTGATTGTATTTTCTGACGTTATTTGTGCTTTGGCCTTCCACTTTTCCGCTTCCCTTCAGGATTCCAAGTTAAGGCTTGCCTCGTGATGCAGTTTGATGATTTGCATAATGTATGTCCTATCCATTTCCATCGTCTTTTCCTAATTTCTTCTTCAGCTGGAAGTTGGTTTGTTCTCTCCCACAGAAGGCTATTGCTGATGGTATCCGGTCAATGGATGTTGAGTATCTTGCGTAGACAGCTATTTATAAATACTTGTACTTTCTTGATGGTGGTTGTTGTAGTTCTCCAAGTTTCAGCTCTATACATTAGAACTGCCTTGACGTTGGTATTGAAGATTCTCACTTTGATATTGGTTGAAAGTTGTTTTTAGTTCCATATGTTATTTAACTGTAGGAATGATGTCCTTGCTTTGCCAATCCTTGCCTTTACGTCTGCATCTGAACCTCCTTGTTCATCGATGATGCTTCCTAGGTATGTGAAGGACTCTACATTTTCCAGAGTTTCGCCATCAAGAGTGATTGGATTGTTGTTTTCCGCTTTGAATTTGAGGTCTTTGGTTTTCCCTTTGTGTATGCTGAGACCTACTGATGCAGAGAAGTCTATTTATAGAACCTATAAACTAAATAATCTTCACAAAGTTTTCTATGTTAATATTTTGTCGAATCCTTTGTGTGTAGAACTTCATTGATCATCTTGAGAAACTTCAAAGTTACTGTCAATCAGTCTATTTTTCATCAGATATATACAATTCATGATATGGTTTATGAATTTATAATGATTGAAAGATTCAGATTGATTATTGCTAAGTTTCCTTATTTGAATTTTCATTGTTTTTGTTTATATTTTGCTTTAAGTGTACTTTTAGTTATTTTCCCAATCACTTTTTAAAAAAAAACCCAACTAATTTCTTCTCTGAAAAACCTACTCTATGAATAGCTTATATCATTTCTTTTATGGTGAATTTGAAGAAAGCGTTGTAAGAATCAGTTTCAAATATTGATTAATATATGTTATAGACGGTGAGACTATAATTTATGGATGAACCAATCAGGTGTAAGATAACAGATTTAGGGTTTTGGCCTGAAATTCAACCATCCATTTGGTCAAATAGCGTCTTGGCATTTTAGCTGATGTCAGTTCGTGATGAAAACGCTCAGTCTAATTCCTAACTTTAAGCATCACCTGTAAATCATAATCTTTATTGTTCAAACTGCTTTATAACCCTGATTAAGCCGTAGTAAGTAGATAGAGACTCTCAAGGTTAGTCTGGCGTCTCTCAAAAGTCATCCATGAATTCTAGTCTCATCAATACTGTTAACATAACTGGTGAATGGTGTAGCGGACAAACTAAAATCATGAAAACATTTAATTGATGTTTTACAGTATTCTGTGTATGGAAACATCCTGAAACATCTCTGTCTTCCTTTAAAAGAAGAATT